ACAGTCATCGATGTCTGTTATAGAACCGAATGTTTCTTCTTTATTATTTATCTAAACTTCTCTTACAGACATGTCTCTTACAATCTGTTATATTTAAAACACACATAGAGCTTTATTAATTTTTTTCTTAATTAGAAAGTTAAAACTATAATATAAGGTCATATATATATTAAAGATTTTCATTGGCCATGACACATGTTCATTATATTTCTCCTATTTCATTAAGGACTAAACAAGCAATCGTTGTTGCTGGAATGAGAAAATACATTTCTACAACAGGCAATACCCCCCAATTCCCAGACAGTCCGTGTACACAAATGATTGCAATGTTCTAAGGAGTCTGAGTCATAAAATGAGCTCAGATTGTTCTCAGGATAGGCCTTCGGACTAGACAAGCAGAAACAGTGCATATCACTACAGAATTCCAGGAAATGATTTTAAACATATTTAAATCCTTTGTGCAATTGTTTGTGATAAGGATTGCATCATCTTCATTCGAACATCCTGTGTGTAGAATGTGGGAGGGCCCCCAAGCAAGATGACCTTCACTATGTCCGGAAGGGAGAACAGACCATAACTTTACTCATGGACAGAAGGGTGCTCCAGTGATGTGCTTGGGAGGTAGTCTCGCTTTGAAAATTATCCAGCTCATGTGACACTGTTAAAAAGGCTCTATAATTCTCAAAGCCATGTCACCACTATTTCTAGAGTAAATTCCTCTGTGTAATAAAAACATAATAAATAAAACTAGTAAGAGATTTTGTTAAAATCTTATAGATCCCAATAGAAAATATGCCTATAAATTCTTAGAAATATGGGACATATGAAACAGTTAAAGTTGTTCTTTAAAGTAGCAGAGTATAATTTAAGAAAACTTGGACTAGAACTGTAAGCGAGTTGTTAGAAGGAAAGTAAGGGCTGAGAGATGGAGTGGAACTCAATGAGGTAGATTGTAAAGAAAGTCAAAATAAGCAAGGAAAACACTACCAAAGCAGCAGCTTCAAGACAAGCAGGAAGGGAGTAAAGAAAATAAAGTTTGTGTGTGTGTGTCTGTCTGATATACATAAGGTGTAAAGGAAAAAGATTCACAGTTATTAAAAGAATTCATAGTAATCCCACTTTCTGTGCCCAAAGCTCACTTGATTAGTATCAGAAGAAAAGTTAATGTTTAAAGTTAATGTTTAAACAGTCCTTCCTACATCTGCCACTTCCATAACGTCTGTGCAATTGTCATAAATTAGGAGTGGAAGACACAGTGCCAGCTCTCAAAACAAAGAGGCAATTCTGGATTCCAAGTTTCATATTATTTTTCTTGAGCCTGAGCATGGTGAAGGGCTGCTTGTCTTAATTGTGACCCACTCCAGCCCTGGAGCGAGAAAACCCACTCACCTGAATCCTACTACAGCTCTGTCTTCTGCGGCAAGGCACCTTTGTAAAGAGAAAGGTCAGGAGAGAACCTTGTCCCTCTAGTGTCCCAGGCCTTGGGAAGAGAAAATGAGCTCTTAATAGTAAGTTAATATAGTTAGTGTCACTAAAAGAACATAAACACTGCTAGCTACAAAGGGTTGGTGTTAAGGGTTGGTTATGTCTCCAGCATTATTCATGGCCGCTTACTCTTCATGTAAATCTTCCTCACTGACTCTACTCCACACTCCTTAAAGTCAAGATCTATGTCTTGTACTTTGCACCTCTCATGGTATCCAGCCTGTGATGGATTAGATCATGTCCATGACTTGGCCTCTTCTGCTTCTTTGCTTTACAAAGTCAGATCAGTGAAAGGACACAGCTTGGCACTCCAGGTCAGCTTTTGTTCTCTTTCCTTCCTGCTAACACCTCCACAGGGCTTATCTCCTCGGGCCAGATACGTACTCTCCCTTCTCTTCCTCTTGGGTGGTGGGGTGTGCTCATACTAGCTGGTGATTATATATAGGCTGGAGGGAGGCAGGGCCTTGAAAAGCCTAATACTGTACCCTACCAGAAAACACTGCACTGGAGTTAAAAACACTAGCCCAGCCACTATTAGAGTGGTACCTTGTTTCCTAATAGCCACTGTCCTGTGTTTATTCATCTTTCAGGAATGTCACGAGAAAGCCAAGGCAGGGTTTAGAAATATCTGGTGACCCTGGTCTTGACATAACCCTAACAGCAGGAGAATCTCGCCATAAACTGCTAATACGCTTGCCTTTTAGTTACATTTTGTATGTTTAGAGAGAATCCTGAAGAGAGAAAGGAGATATGTGTGACTCTCACTTTCCTAGGCATCTACTTGCTAGGCTCCTGACAACTTTCTGCCCCTTTTGGTCTTATCCAACTTCCAACCCGCAGTGTAGCCAGTGGTTGAGATGCCTTACAATCCTTGATAGGCTTATCATCTCTAATACATCCATTACTGATGGTGACTCTGTCTCTTAGGGTTACCCTGTCCCAGAAAAACTACAAGCTCATTGCCAGATTGTCCTCAGCAAGGCCAGGCTTATGAATCAGACCATCAGAGTATGTCTAAAGGTCTTGTTCAGCTGATACTTAAATCAATCTACTATAGTTCACTTTGTAGAATTGCTTGGGTGAATCATTTGGGAATAGAACTTTCATTCAGTCATTCAACAAATAACTATTGATTCCTACTCAATGCCAGATACCACTTTGGGTTCTGAGGACACACCAGTGAACAAAATGATGTCAGTAAACTCAGAGACAGAGGAAAAGACAAATAATGAGCCTATAAACAAATAAAGATAATTTCAGATATTGATAATTGCTATGCAGAAAATAAATCAGGCTAGAGAATGACTGGTAGGTGTGACAAGTACTAATTTTTTTTTTCATTTATTTACTTTTTATTTTCATGCCTGGTCTTCCTAGGTGGTCTCCCATCCAAGTACTAACCAGGCCCAACCCTGCTTAGCTTCCAAGATCAGACAGGATCAGGCTCGTCAAAGTGCTAATTTAGATTGGCTTTCTCTGAAAGCAAGCTTATGAGGAGGAGACATCTGGGCTGAGACAAAGATGAGCACCAACCAGCCAAATGAAGATCTTGGGAGGACTGTTCCTTCCAGGAGAAAAGAATGGGCAGAAGCTTTGAAGAAGGAATGAATCTGGTGTGTTCAAGGGGCAGACAAAAGACAGAATTCTCAGAACATGGTGAACAAAGGTGAAGGGGTAAAACGAGAAGTAAGAGAGGCTAACTGAGACCAGATCATGAAGCATTAAGGAATTTTAACCTCTTCTAATTGCAGTGGAAAGCAATAGAGGGGTTTAATCTAGAGAGTGACATTTAAAAGTTCACACTGGCTGCAATGAGGAGAGTACACAGGGGTAAGAAGGGCAGCAGGAGAAGGGTTGAGAAGCTGCTGCTTCAGTACCTGCAAGGCTAGTTGTTGGCTTTGATTGTGAGAAATAGTCCATCATCATTTATTTTGGTGGTAGGGTCAACAAGACTGGCTAACGGATGAGATATGGGGGAGATGAAAGAAAGAGAGGAGTCAAGAATTTTCGGCCTTATCAGCTGGTGCAGATATTTGTTTTCTTTCCATTAAGTTTGACATGTCTATTAGGCATTAAAGTGGAGATGTTTGAGATGGCTGCCTGCAGTTCAGGGCTGAATATGTAATATCGTGTCATTAGCAACATCATCTGCCAGATTCCAATGTCAAACTATACCAACCATAATATATTTCTAGCCTCCTTTACCACATTTTATGGTTATCAAAGCATAATTAGATACTTGTTAGAGATGCACACTCTAATGATGACAGTTATTGCTACTCACTGGATTTCCGAACATACTGTTCTTATCCTTCCAGATGACGGACCAACTGTCTGCAACACACATTGCTTCTTAGGTCTTCTCTCATTCGTTAGTGCTCTTCTCGAGCCTATTCTTCTACTCACCTCATGATTCACCTCCTCCATGATGCCTTTGGAGAAACACTACCCTCTTGAGTGATAATATCATTCCATTTCCCCATCATAGATATGCATACTCTAAAATGTGAATAATTTGGATTCTAAATGTTTCTTTGAATTCCATATTTTAGCGCATCAAACATAAGTTGACACTGAAAAAATGTTATAACTTATAGCTCTTATTTGATAAGCCGACAAAAGCCCATTTAATCATTGGGAAGAGCCTTACAGGATCATGGATCTGAAGCTCCAGGTTGAGTCTGGAGCCTTCTGCTGCAACAGGGAGAAAAGGTTCCAGTGGCAGGACTCCTGTCCACCCGTGGGCATCAACAGTGGTAGAAGAGAAGATATGGCTCTTCTGCCTAAAGACAACTTCCAGAATATCTGATTTTTCCTGAGTTTATTTTCATAATTACTATGGAAAACTTAAACCAGCAATGGAGGTATATATTTCCATATCCATGAAGGTGGCTTATAAATGTAACCATTACACAGCATTAAAAACTGAGGGCATTTTGGGGCAAAAATAAAAGATACTAAATGCACTAGAAAAAGGTACCTTTGTAAATTTTGCATGGCTGCTTGTGAGAACCGTTAGTCACATGGGGTAGAGAAGGCTGACTTAAAATGAAGCCAGCAGACAGCCTTGCTGAAGGAGAAAATCTGGGGAACAATTCTACCATCTAGAAACCTCCCAGAGGAAGCATCAGCTAGTTGAACATTTACAAAGCTCAAAGGATACCAGATTAAGAATAAGAAATGGAGACAAATCTATCATTTTCTCTCTCTCTCTCACACACACACACCCACACACACATCTATCATCTATGAGCTTCTATACATCATCTATTAAATAGTCAAAACTGGTATTATGACTTTGCTATGGAATATTAAGAGAAAACTTTCTATCCAGTTTTTTAAAAAGTACCACTATATCATCCCATTAATTATCAATGGAAGATCCTTTATTTAAGGATATCTAAGGCCTACCCATTAATAATATATTCATGCATCAATTTGAACAAGCAATTGCAGTCATATATTAAACTTACTTAGTATTTTTATTGAAATCATAAAGAAGAGAATATTCTTACCAGTTGCCTTTTGGATTTATAAACTGCTGTACTGCATAGCCAAACTGTTCACTTGAAGGACCGGAAAATATCTTTGCTTCTGGGAGACCAACATTGTATGCCATACAACAATTTAAAATGCCTATTAAAGAAACAAAAATATAGTTCATATTTAGAACTTGCGAATGTTTGTAATATAATTTTCAAAGGCCACTTAAAAAGACTTGTTTGATATAATAATTATTCTCCTTATCAATCTACCAAGAAATAGTAGCTACTGCTGTTTAGGTACTTATTTGGGGCCCTGGCATTATGCTAAGTTTCTTTATATGCATGATTCACTATCTCATTCATTCTCATAAGCAAGCCGAAGAGATGGCACCTAACATTTTAATTGTTTTCTCACAAGTGGAAAGTGATAAGAATAAAGGCTGAATTTGAGCACAGGGCTGTTGATTCAAGAGCTCTTATTCTTAAACCACTTATTACCAGTAGGGATTCTTAAGTAATTTCAGTTCTATTTGTTCTTTTTAATGCAAAGACTCTAAGCTACCCGAGGGCAGGGTCTGAAGGCTCTCTTCTCTTTCTTCTGAATCTCCTTGAAGATCTTGACATGGACCCGCTATGAAATGTCCGTTGAAAAAGTGTGGCTGACTGCATCAAAGGAGGTAGAAAAATTGCAGCTCCCTGAAAATTACATCATTTTCTTTCAGAAGAGATCATTTTTTGAGGATGAAAATGTAAGGAAAGATGTCATTATCTCTTTTATTCCCATGTGAACTGTCAAAAGTGGTTTTGCTTCTTGATGCTTCCTTCTGAAGGCTCAAGAAATGATAATTTTTAAAAACAACAAAGACTAAGAAGGATGAAGCCTTGATAGACTTTTTTTTTTTTTTTTGAAAAACCTTGTTTCCAGTGGAAAGGGAATAAAGGAAAGAATAAGTTTGATTGTCTCCCTCTCTGACACTGATAGCACTAATGTTGGCAGTACTTCATCAGGAGAAAGAAAGCAGTTGCGATTTAATGTTCTCTATTGAGATGGGACTATGTTTCATGTTGTTTGAGATCAGTATTTATCTTTGCAGACACTGAAGGCAGAGTGGACTTTTTAAAACTGACACAGAAGTTCCATTAATACGTGTTTTCACACACACAAAAAAATCTCACTTTCTGGGTAGCACTGAAAGGGCACAGTATTTCATAAGTCTGTTATTTCAGGCACTAAAAGGATGGAGGAAAAGGGCTTGCTCTTCCACTGTGACTGCGTACTTCTGGGAGCGGACTCTGTAGAGTCCTCCAAAGGAATAATGAAGTCAATGATGAGGGTCTGGGGACTTAAAGTAGTCACTGTGCCTCTCTAGGTGCCAAAATCATTTTACTGTGAATGTTTACTCTAGAGAGCTCCGTTCATTATTTTTTAGGAATATGTGCTACCAGGAAGAGAAAGACAAATAATAATTTTGAAATACTCTTAGCAAAATCTATACAGGTCTACATTTGCAAAGTTTCTCCTTAACATCTATTGTTCATATGCACCACTAATTCTTTATACTTTTGAGGAAATAACAGGCAAAAGAAAGTGAATCAAGCAGAGAACCAGAGCTGACATTCAGAAAAACTGGTGCTTCCAGTCACCAATTTAACCTCACCCCATAGTGCAGAACTCTAAAATGCTTTTTAAATACGTTGCCAATTATCTAACATACTATAAAAGCTTGGGGAGATGATGTCAAACTGCTCTCACTTTTACAATGTCTAATGCTGGAAAGACCACATATGACTGTATATAAAATGACCTCATTTTCCCCTATTAATTGGACTTTGGCAGATCATGTAATGACATGAAATCATGATGGAGTTCATTTTATCATCTAGAAGTTAAATATACTATATATATGTGTATATATATATGTATATACACACACATATATGTATGCATATTATTACCAACTTAGAAATAAGTCATGGGGATGTAATGTGCAGCATAGTGACTGTAGTTAATGATACCGTATTGCACATTTGAAAGTTGCTAAGGGAGTAGATCTTAAAAGTTCTCATCACAAGAAAACATTTGTAACCGTGTGGTGATGGATGTTAACTAGACTTATTGTGATGATCACTTCACAATATATACATATATCAAGTCATTATGTTGTACAACTGAACTAATGTAATGTTATATGTGAATTACAGCTCAATTAAAATACAATCTCAATTAATCAAATATATAAACACAACAGACACATATACCTGAACTAATGTAATGTTATATGTGAATTACTATGTACACACACACACACACACATACACACACACACACACACAAACACATACACACACATATATACACACAGTTGACCCTTGAATAATATGGGAGTTAGAGGTGCTGACCTCATTCAGTTGAAAATTCACATATATTTTAAGTCAGTCCTCTGCCTACGCAGATTCATAACTTCAGATCAAAAATACTATTTTTGAATCTGTGGCTGCTGAATCCAGGGATGTAAAACCCAGAGATACAAAAGGCCAACCATATATTTACTGAAAAAGAAAAAAATAATCCATGTACAAGTGGACCCACACGGTGCAAACTTGTGTTGTTTAAGAGTCAACTGTGTGTGTGTGTGTGTGTGAACTTTAAGGCCTGAATACGACAGTGTAAGCACAGGGTGTCATTGCTTTAAGGACATGGAGCACATTTCTCTCATGCCTGGTGTGGACCAGTCCTCAGCTGCTGCAGAGGTATTAGTGGGAGGAGGGGCACAGGACAGTAAGTTGGGCATCACAGGGACAGCAGGAGGGCCCAGCAGTCACCAAGGCAGGGGACACACTCTTAGGTGACTGCAAAGATTCCCAAGAGAACTGTGCTCGATAGTCCTGGAGAAACACTCTCATCTAAGTCAGGTATTGGTGAGATGCCAGGTATGATCTGTCCTGGGAAAAATTTCTCCCCATCTGTGGGTCTGTGAACCTAGAAAACAAGTTGTCTGCTTCTAAAATATAGTGGTGTGATCAGCATGTCACAGACATTTCTATTTCAAAAGGGAGAAATTAGAAGAAATAAAGAGGTCTCGGGTACCAAGAAAATTTAACATGGGTCAAATTCCATTAGGTTTCAACACCTGAGAATAATCCTCTGTTGCTCAAGGCTCTGTCCTCTGAGACAGTACCAGCTGAGCAGGCCTCTATTTCTCTGTCTCCTGCAATCCAAGATGGCAATATTTCTGCTGAGATGACATTCCTATAACTCTGGTGAGTCTTTTGTGTATGTCATGGGGACAATGCCATTAGCCAACAGAGCACATCAGAGATCCTTCCTGGATAACTCCATCTCTGTTCCTGGCCTCTGCTGAGGTGGCTGAGAGGGTCTACGAATCACACGCCCAATCTGTTCAGCAAAATGTTTCCCACCAACACTTGCTTAGACTTCTTTTCAGAACACACTTTCCGAATGAAGCTCCTAATACCATATACATATATATATATGTATATTTTGGATAGGCTAAGACTTTCTCAGATCATTAAGTACTATTCTGTTTAACAGTTCTTTCCTCAATTTATCTCTTTCCTTCTGCATTTTGCTACATTCAGCAAGGAAAAAGCAGGCTGCACCTTCAACATTTTGCTTGGAAATCTCCTCAGCTAAATATCTGAGTTCGTTGCTTGAAATTTCCACTTTCTACACAACCGTAGGACACATAAAGTCAAATTTTCTGCCACTATATAATAAAGAACAGGTTTCCTCCAGTTTCCAATGACACGTTCCTCAATTCCTCTGAGCACATACTGGAAGTGGCTTTGATGTTCATGCTTCTACCAACGATCTCTATAAGGCAATCTTCAAAGACCCTCTATCCAAATAAGGTAATAGTCACAGATTTTGGGGACTAGGACATAAAAATAACTTTTTTTTTTTTTTTTTGCGGGGGCGGGACACCATTCAATTCAATACATAGGTATGTGAAGAATGTAAAGATC